CACGGAAGACGGTTGTCCAGTTCTCGTGTCCCCGGGTTCAATATTGGAGCACGGACAGATAGAGCTGTAAATGAAAAGCTGATTTTTTTTTTGACAATTGACATCCATAGAAACATGAAAATTGCAATAAATATAGGTATTCAAAGATATTGTGTAATACACATTCGTATAGGGACATATATTCCATTTAAACTACAGCTGATCAGTTGATAACTATTCTAACCCCTGCCCGACCGGGCATTTTTATAACGTCACTGGCCATGAGGAGGTGGTTGTTAAAGGCATGGGTGTTGTTTTGTATAGGCTTGGTAGGGCCCGAGCCCTAGCAATAATTTCAGAATTTTAACATTAACCCTATGGCGGTGCATGGTAAGAATGGCTTTGGTATCCCGAAATTAACCATTAGAGCCCTACCAATAAATTTCGTAAAGTGACGCCCGTGGTTAAAGGGACCCTCCCAGCTTCAAAAAAGTTTATGAATTGGCATGAAAGTGATGTCGCTCGGTTCAGAAAGAGCGAAAACGAATATCTACCAACTTTCACCGAAAAATATTCACCGGTTTTCAAGATATTAGACTTTTACTTTTGTTTACATTTTGGGATCTCCGCTGTTCCTAGCGACTTTATTTGGAAGCAATAGTTTGGCAGCTGAAAGTGCGGCACTTGCTGCGCGCAAAGCAGCATATACCACCGCGTGCTACAAAACGTTTTAGTCAAACATTTAAAAATCGTTAGATATCTGCGCTGACGTCACACATTCAGAGGCCTGCCAGGCCTCTGATTCCTCTGATTCCTCTGATTCCTATGCATTAGCCCCTCTGAATCAAAATGCTGCAATTTTGAAATTCAATATTTCCGATTTAAGGCATTTCTCGATGTTGTGAGTGCCGAAACCGGTAATTGTGAGCCAGGGACCCCATTTTGGCTATCTCAACTCAAATCTAATGTTAAGGTGGGAGGGTCCCTTTAACGATAAGAATGATGCACCCCTGTAGCAATTGGCTCTGAAACCAAATTTAGAAGAAGAAAAAAACAACTTTGGCGACTCTCAGACCGAAATTGAAGCGCAGCACGCCATGAGCTCATTTCCAGCGCAGTCTGTGTGTAGGGGTCCTTGCTTGCGCCTAGGGCATACCACAACCACTGGCGGATCCAGGGGGGGGGGGGGCACGGGGGCCATGGCCCCCCCCCCCAAAGGCCTAAAGTGGCCTGTTTGGCCCCCCAAAAACGCCAGAAAAATTGCTAAGAAAATATACCTTGATGGAGGTTTTTAGCCACTTGGTGAAGTAAAGCTTTCCACAGCATAATATGGAAGCAATATAGTAGCAGTGAGGGTCAGTCAAAAGTTGCGCGAGCGGAGTCGACCTTAAAAAAAAGACTGTTGTTGGCACGTGTTTATGGCGCGGCAGCTGGTAGTTGGCGGTGTTTCGCGTGGTGTGGCATCACTGGCGGATCTGGGGGGGAGGGGGGGGGGGCACGGGAGCCTGAGGTGCCCCTGACAGGCCCGTGGCGCCCTTGCTAGGCCTGTGGTGCCCCTGGACCCTGGCAGGCCTGTGGTACAGTCCACAGCAGAAGTAATGTGGGGTTTCAGTCATGGGTATGTTCTGCTCCTGAAGCTTAGGAACGATTAGCCAGACTACAATAAAACTTTGAATGTAGCTTATATGTATCGTCACCCTTGCAGCTGCAACTTTAGCTATTGACATCTTCTTTTCAATCACTTCGCATTAAACAATCGCCAGTCAAAGCCAACCGTTGAGTCTGGGACCTGACAGGACTGTGGTGCCCCTGACAAGACTAAAGTGCCCCCAACAGGCCCGTGATGCCCACGACAGGCCCAAGGTGCCCCTGCGTGATGCCGTGATGCCTGCGAGGCCGGTGGTGCCCCCTGCGAGGCCGGTGGGCCCCTGACAGGCCCATGGTGCCCCTGCTAGACCGGTGGTGCCCCTGGCAGGCCTGTGGTGCCCCTGCTAGGCCGCTGGTGCCCCTGGGCCCTGACAGGACTGTGGTGCCCCTGACAGGCCCAAGGTGCCCCTGCAAGGCCGGTGGTGCCCCTGTAAGGCCTGTGGTACCCCTGCTAGGCCTCTGGTGTCCCTGACAGGCCCATGGTGCCCCTGCGAGGCCGGCGGCGCCCCTGGCAGGTCTCTGGTGTCCCTGACAGACCTGGGGTGCCCCTGACAAGCCTGTGGGGCCCCTCACAGGCCCGTGGTGCCCTTGCTAGGCCTGTGGTGCCCCTGGCGGGCTGGTGGTGCCCCTACTAGGCCGGTGGTGCCCCTGACAGGCCTGTGGTGCCCCCGGGCACCAAGGGGGTCATGACCCATGTGGCCCCCCTTGGATCTGCCACTGATGCATGATATATTGATTTGTAAAGGCGTTATGGCTTATGCAATATGCAATTGCAGGCACTTGGTATCCCTCACTTATCCCTCATTGGGGCTCTGGCGGGCTCCTGAGGGCCCACGTCTATCTCCGGGAGCCCATATAGACAGGCTCCTTTGGGTCCTTTCAGTACACTATAGCATAAGAGGTCTCCATGCCAGTCATATACATACATCTGAGGGCGTACCCTGATGTCTGAGGTACCCAACTGCAGCTCCAATGGTCTCTTCTTACACTGGCGGATCCAGGGAGGGGGCATTTAGGGCCATGCCCCCTTCCCAGAGGCCTAAAGTGGCCCGTTTTCCCCCTCCCCCAAACGATAATGAAACATAGTTCAATCAGGGCGTGGCCCAGGAGCCGAGTTAGACAGGGCTGTTTTACCACCTCCGGCCCGCAAAGGGACCCAAGCACTGACTCGAAGCGGGTTAAAGAGACCCTCCCACCTTCAAAAAAGTTAATGAATTGGCATGAAAGTGATGTCGCTAGGTTCAGAAAGGGCGAAAACGAATATCTACCAAATTTTATCGAAAAATATTCACCGGTTTTCAAGAGATTAGACTTTTATTTTTGTTTACTTTTTGGGATATCCGCTGCTGTTCCTAGCGACTTTATTTGAAAGTGCGGCATTTGTTGCGCGCAAAGCAGCCTATACCACCGCATGCTACCAAACGTTTTAGTAAAATATTAAAAAATCATTAGATCTCCGCTGACGTCACACATTCAGAGGGGTATCCAAAAGCATTAGCCCCTCTGAATCAAAATGCTGCAATTTTGAAATTCAATATTTCCGATTTAAGGCATTTCTCGATGTTGTGAGTGCGTGCCGAAACCGGTAATTGTGAGCCAGGGACCCCATTTTGGCTATCTCAGCTCAAATCTAATGTTAAGGTGGGAGGGTCCCTTTAACTGGTCGATAAAAACAATGGTAAGTGTTTACAAAGTAATATAAAGGCATGGGTCGGGTGGGCTACCATTTATATATTTTTCTTTTTAGTTAAAAAAAAATCATAGTGTCAGGGCTGTGACGAAAAATAAGTGGCCTAAATCCGATGAGAAAACAGGATTTTGGGGTACCCTAGGTTTGGCTCCTGCATGAGTTGGCCCCCCCCAAAAAAAACGCAAGCCTGGATCCGCCAGTGACCACAACAAAGGCAGCTTCAGCATTCTACATGAGGAAGGCGTGCTTTGAACATACCTACATTACAATCTAAATGCTTCAGGTTATGGGTAAAGGTGAGTAGAAAAGATTTTAAGCAGGTTGTGCAATAACGCTTCGAAGTCGTATTCGCCTCTCCAAACTTCTTGTAAACCTTCAATTTGCACACCAACAAGAAATAGTTTCTTTTAGATTTATGCAGAATGCAAAATTTTGACAGTCGTTTTTTGACACCTGTCTCTTGCCCGGCCATCCACGATATATTGACACCGTGCTCTGCCCTTGCGTGAGAGCGATGCGCAAGGCTTGTAAGTTAATGAAAGGCAGAAGCGGCCGTAAACTTAATCAAAAGTCGAGCTGGGATTGATGTGCGTCCGGCACGGCATGTCGCCATTACGGCGCAACGCTCGGCTACAGAAGATTAAACGCCGCTCGTCCCATCAAACATTCATGACGGCACCACTGAAAAAGGACTGAGGATCAACAACCATCGGGGGCAGCGGCATACCGCGACAGGGACCCCGGAGCGCCTTCAAGAGAGGCGGCGGCAATAGCTCTTGATCACTCAACAATCATTAAGCTATAATTCGCCCAGGTCACAACGCTTGCAAGTTCCCTCAATTTCCGATTGAGGCATCTGCCCCATTAGGCTGATAACAGTTACCTACTGCAGAGAAGTGAACACCGACGCATTTTTAAATGATGCCATCAACTGCAAATTCATTTGTAATGCGGATTTTCTTTGCTCTATGTATCCTGGATAATCGTCGGTGGGTTATGCCAAACAATTTGAGAAACGAAATATAATACCATCAAATCTTGTGCCATGTCCAGCCAGCATTGTGTCATATCGCGTTGTACATATACTAATCACAAGCTATATAATTACATTGGACGTCGCTACTCGCTGAATTAAAGCACTAGCAACCGCATTGGCTGCTTGGAAGCATAAGTTAACGTTTATCAAGAGTTTGCTCAGGATCGCGCCTGCTTCGTCTTTATGCCCCATCCTGTGTATTCTCTCGGCCCAGCTGCATTTCTCCGTCCCGCGGCTGGTGCGCCCCCGTTCCGCAGTGGTTCGCCCCCGTTCCCCGCCGCCGGCTCCTCTCCGCCGCGCCGACGGCCGTCGACTGAAGACCACATCGTCGGTGCCGACGGAGCCGCGCATGCGCACTGGGCCAGCCGTCGGAGGCGGAGCCAAACAATCAATGCGCCGGAATCTTCTCTTCAAGACCAGCCAATCACTGCGCTGGCGTCAGATTACGTCCGGGTTTTGGCACGGTTTTATTTTAATTCGGTGATTATTCGCTGGCTGTGCGCCGGCCGGGGCGTGGCTCAGACCAGGAGGGACTGATGGACCGAGCGGGAGCCGAGTCCGGCGGCAGAGCGCTGATCCGAGCATCCACGCCGCGGCGCCATCAACAGAACGCACAAACCCGGGCCGCCCAGTCGACAATCATTGAAACGGCAGCCTGCGCGACTTAGGACCTGCAATAACGCTATCTTTGCTCCTGGCCGGACTCTAAGGCTCAGTTTCTCGGCGCTGCGCTGCGGCGCGTAGCCCTTATCGCAAGCGAACGGTCGCGTCAAGACTGATAAGTCTGCGAGATGGCAGCCGATTTTGGTCCTTACGGCCGGAAATCTCTCCGGATTGGAGCGGCGGGAAGCCGTCCGTCCGTCTGAGGTTGCCACTCGTCGCCGCCGACGGACACGCCGCGTCGCCGCCGTCGGTCCGCCGCCGCCGGAGACGAGCGGCCGCCATGAAGGAGCCGGCAGCGGCCGTGCTCGGCTCCGCGGCCAGCGCGTTCCGCGTGGTGACTCCTCGAGACAAGCCGGACGGTGAGTACTGCGGGGAGGGCGGCTGGCGACCAGGTCCGATCGGCAGGGACCCAGACCCGACCGGACCCGGTCCAGAGTCAGACCCGAACGGACCCGGGCCCGACCCAAACCCGACCCAGACCTGACCCAGACCCGACAGGGCCCAACTCGGACCCGGACTCGACAGGGACCCAGACCCATCCCGAACCCTGCCCAGACCCGACTCAGACCCGACCAGGCGCAAACCGGACCTCAGCCCGACCTAGACACTGACCAGACCCGGTGCAGACCTGCCCAGTCCTGACCTGTTCTGGAGCCGACCCGGTGCAGACCTGACCCAGTCCTGACCTGTTCTGGAGCCGACCCGCTCCACGCTCTCTCCGTCTGAGCAGTAGTAGTGGATTCCACTCCAACCGATCCAGTCTCGATCTGCACACCTAGTCTCTACATGACAAACTATCCGGTTTCAACCATTCGCTTAGGAACCCTTTTTGTAGCGGAGATTTTGCGAACCAGTTTTGCAAATATATGTTATTTTTCAAGTGCAGATGATAGCTGATACTACTTCTCAAATGCATCATGTTGCCGTTACGTGGTCATGGCTTCATATATATCATCATTTCCTTTCAGAAGAATTTCGCCAACTATCAGCTATTCGGAAATTAATCGTTCAAAGCAACTCGCCGTGGAAGTTCACCTTAATGAGGATATTAGTTACATTTCTCGTTAGGCCTACCATAAAATCTGCTAATGAAATGAACGTTGCATGAGGTTTTTTAGGAGTTGCTGTTTGTGCCGTTCCCAAAAAATATTGGATAGATCATTCGCGTAACTAACGACTGATCAGCACGAAACTGGACCAAAACTAATGGAGCATAACATCACCAATAGTCGACAGATTTTAATTATTTTGGGTGTAATTTAAGGGCGTGTGGCTATCGTTAATGGAGTCTCAGTACCCAGAGCATGCTGTTCTGTTTTGACTTTTGGCCCGAGCTTGCAGCTGCCTACCACGCACACCAGACCACAAAACTTCTTGAGGAGGCTGGGGTGCCCGTAGTAGCATGTGACATTAACCCGCCATAAAACCTCTCAGATTTGGCCCATTGAGGATCTTTGGGGCCTCATCTAATAGAGCGCGCATAAAGGATGGTAGGTCAGCTGAGACGCAAAGTTAAAACGGAGAATCCAGCAGGTCATCCTTCACATAGACCTGGAGGTGCCGCGAAGATCAAAACGGGGCTGCCAGCGCGCGTGCGCCTGGAGGCTGACAGAGGTTCGGTGTCGCAGATCCAAAGTCAAGCGTGATCACAACACACTAAAGGCACGGTAGCTCGATTTTCAACGTTTTCGCTTGAAAACTCTCAGCACAGTAGCAATTCAAACTGTGTCCAGTTTCATACTAACCACCCGTTATAAGGAAGGAGTTGCGAATTATTGGACGCTAGCATTGTTCGAAACAGACGATCATACATTTCTTCGACGAATCCATTGCATGAGGTCGAGTTGCGTGTTGGTTATATCTTTTTTTGTGCCAGTGTGGAACTGATGAGACCCAGGAACGTAACGGACAAATTCACAGATCAGGGAGGTATTTCTTCATTTATAACAAAAGTCAAAAACTAAACACAAATAACTTAAATATTTTGCTTGCCTAGTGCCTGGATGGCAATTACAATATGTATAGATTGTATAGCTTGATATATTATATATCAACATATACCTATTGTTAGATTGATAGACAGTTTGTATAGATTGATATAGATAGACCGCATGGATTGTAAATTGCAATTGTATAGATCTAACTCATACATGTTACAGCAGCCACCTGTACCTATTCTATGAGATGAAAAATCTTTGAAAGCACGTTGGTAGGTAACCTTCAAAGCTCAACCATTATATATTTTCTTGCGACCAATTCGCCCTGTTTAGATAATGCAACTGCAGCTATTTCGAACAATTATGTATCGAATTGGGCGTCGGCAGAAGCTGAAGTTTCCAAAGCTGAGCATAAAGAACGTGTAATGAAATTCAAGACGTAAAATTCTGATGAATTGGAGTCAGAATCACTATTCTTTTTACAAATCAATGAATTTCTCTTTTGATGGCATGGTGGCAGAAAAGACATTTCAATAACTAGAATGAATCATCCTCAATAATTCAATTTGCGAATAGATATTCATTTTTGATCTTTCTGAACCACGGTACATCACTTTTATACCAATTCATTAACTTTTTGAAGGTGGTAGGGTCCCTTTAAACTATCCATGTAGGCATGTTTGAATGGTGGATGTCACAAGTGTGTGCATCGGCGCAGCGCACCAGCATGTCACTCTATGCCCCTAGGACCCATGAAGAACCCATGATAGTGTCTGTTATACCAACTCTGTCGGCGGCGGCGCTCTGTCGCCTCTTTGCAGCCTTCAGACGACACTGCAGCTCGAACATTGCATGAAGACATCGGTGGCACGAGTGTTAGCCTGTCAGAAAGTAGGAGTGCACGAAGAGCACGGACAAGGAACGAGACGGTATATTTACAGTGATAAAAATGGAATAATATGAATGAACGTGTGGTTTTTGTTTCACATTTTGTCTGATCTGGCTAGTTAGTAACAGAATTATACCCTGCCCTTTTTATCCCCTATCCGCACCCACCCGTCTATTTCGCACACTATTATTTAGCTCTGGTTAATCCTGAGCCTAAATTGCGAAAAGGCCGTCCTAATTCGCCAACTGGCGCCGAATAACAGGCGCATCATCACTTCATTTTCCAATTGGAGGGTTACGGCGGCGCGCCGTATTCTGCACGGTGCGCCGAGATCGCCGCCGGCGCGCCAGAGCGGCCCCAGCCCTGTCATTTGCCGATTAGCTGACTCAGTTCGCCAGTCGGCCTGCAGCTGCACCGACTTTAAACAATTTGACCTCATTGGAGAAGATGGCCGCCGCGCCGCCCGCTGATTTTGTTCATTGAACTGATTAGCTGGCTCAGGCCGGCGGGACCAGCTGGGACCGGGCCGGGGCGCCGGCTGGGACCGGGCCGGGGCGCCGGCTGGGACCGGGCCGCGACCGAGCCGCGACCGGGCTGGGACCGGGCCGGGGTGCCGGCTGGGACCAGCTGGGACCGGGCTGGGGCGCCGGCTGGGACCGGGCCGCGACCGGGCTGGGACCGGGCTGGGACCGGGCCGGGGTGCCGGCTGGGACCAGCTGGGACCGGGCCGGGGCGCCGGCTGGGACCGGGCCGCGACCGGGCTGGGACCGGGCTGGGACCGGGCCGGGGTGCCGGCTGGGACCGGGCCGGGGTGCCGGCTGGGACCGGGCTGGGACCGGGCCGGGGTGCCGGCTGGGACCGGGCTGGGACCGGGCTGGGACCGGGCTGGGACCGGGCTGGGACCGGGCTGGGACCGGGCTGGGACCGGGCTGGGACCGGGCTGGGACCGGGCTGGGACCGGGCCGCGACCGAGCCGCGACCGGGCTGGGACCGGGCTGGGGCGCCGGCTGGGACGCTAAAAGAGCTGCCGAGGAATGCCCTTAGGACACCCAACGAGACCGGCGTTAAGCCATGAAATTGTATGAACAGAACATCTCAAGAAACTATGTGCACCAAAAAATAGGGACGCATGATTTCCTGGATGGTATTCAAAAGACAAATAAATGTTACTATGTAAGCTTGAGTGAATGTCCGTTGGCGCCGGCGGACGGCCGCAGCTGCCCTATAGGTACCTACATGTAAGACTACTCGTGGACGATAAGTTGACGACTCGTGGACGACCCGTGGACGACCTGGGGGCGCCCGTGGACAACCGTGGACGGCCGGGGGACGCCCATGGACGCCCGTGGACGCCCCTGGTCGGTCCATGGAGGACTGTGCCGAGGCGGCAGGGCGGTGTGCTGTCAGCTCGCTGTGCTGAGGGGAACTGTCGTCCCATCTGTCTGTCCCGGGGCGGCGGTGACAGACACTATCTTTGGCACTTGTTGGTTGATTGGCGGGTGGAGCGCTCGTCAGTGGAGGACGTGGGGTCGGCACTGCTGTTGTAGGGCGGCAAATGTGATCAGCGAGATAGCTACCAGCTGCCGCGCTCCGAAGAGAGTGAATTAGATCAGTGATGATGGGGCAGGGAACAGTCTTTGATAGCGACAAAGCCGTTACGTCGGTAGAAACTCGAAGAGTTGAGTTTGTTCCTGCTTTCTGACGGCTGAAGTGTGTGACAACTAGCAAATGGCTGCTGTTGAACTAAATTGAGGCGGTATGATAAAATGATATCTGTTACAAAACAGCCTGAGTTAGGTACAGCAATTCCCTACGCCACAATTGGTCTGCAAATCAATCTGTTGGGGCATATTAAAAAGGGTGCCGGATAAAGCTGTTATAAAGAAAAAGATTTATGAGCCTCTTCAGGTACTGTCGCATGGGGAGGCACAGTATAACTGTGCAGTGCCCGGCCGCTGTAATCACAGAATATTTGTGGTGGTAACCTGCGTGTACATACCATAACTCAATCAAGATAGCGTTAGCCGACGCATGGCCGGGCTCGCTGATAGAGCAGCGACCCGAGGCGCGGCCCCGGTCAACCCGCAGACGCTCAGCGTGGTGGGTGGGGCTCTCACGTGACTATGCTGCGTAACACGGTGTCAGTGTAACATCTTACGGCCGAAAACGTAGTATAGCTGTTGTCCAGTGTCCACCAGCCTACCCGTGGAATGACCATTCAAATAATTATACGGTGCCTTGCCACTGTTTTATCATATAATATTATAGCACCGCATCAAACAACCTTCATCTTTATTTTAAATTACAAAAAAAAAAACGGTGGTTTTCCTAAGAAACAAGGGATTGATTTTTACTTCCAAGAAATCAGTTAGACCTTCCAGCGAAATCAATTAACTTTTACAAAAATGTTTTACTTTTAGGTTTTAATTAATTCTAGGTAAGTATGACAATCGGTGAAGAGGTCACCTTCCCACCGTCTGTCAAACGGTGGGCAGGGCCCGTTTGCACCTTTTGCTGTATCGGTAACTCTGGCCAGTCCGAGTGGCAGGCTTCCCACACCGCGCACGTAGGTATCGGTAGTGTCCGACCCCTCCCCCTCCCAGAATAGGCCGTAAATCTCTCGCACGAGATTTATAACATGTGTTTAACAATTAAGCTCGATTCCGATAGCAGTGACTGGTACCATAAATGAAATCTGGGTTTTCGTATCGTGTTGACACAAATCAAACAAAGGTGAGCGTCTTATCGTAAAGCCCGTGACTTTGTCGGATAATTGGGAGCTACAGTATAAAAAGAAGGTGGCTTATAGCCGTGCATACAGGAACAGCGGCCCAACAACAGTCAGCCCGAAATCGCCTAATCCGCGGACTTATTTGATTGGTTATCACTCCACTCTGCATAAATCTTCCGGCTCTGTCAGGGAGTCAGATTTATTTCTGCTTGAGGATATAGACATTAGAAGTAGGCATGATATCGTGCAGGACATTCCTTAACTTGATAAATTTAGAACGGCGATTAGGCGAACAACTCCAAGCTGCAAACCATCCAAACAGATTGCGATAGGACCACCACTCTTAGCAGCCTACCTTTTCCCCTTTTCTCGTCATCAGCCCGCAGCGCTCAGTTGCCGACCTGCCCTCTGTAACCTCCCACCCTTCGTGACCGGCCCGGAGCTCTCACTAGTCCTGAGCCCTCAGTGGCCCACCCAAAGCCCTATGTGACTGTACCACGGCCCTCCACGACCGGCCCGCAACCCTCACCAACTCTCGCCCTCCGTGTCTGGCCCGGAGCCCTCCGTGACCGGCCCGCAGCCCTCACCAGCCCTCGCCCTCCGCGTTTCAGCGGGCCGCGATGAGGCGCCGGCCGGCCCGTTCGGCTCTCTGCACCAGACGCCGCCATCTTTGGCAGAGCGACGTCTCGAGGAGCAGCTACGGTCCACATCGATCTCGCTCGGGCCGGCCGCCGAGGCCGCCCATCTCAGCATGACAAAACGTAGGTGGCCGCGCCCGCTCTTCGTTCCCGAGCAGCTCACGCCCGCGACTGTGCTCTCAGATGGCTTAGAAATGTATTCGCCTGGTTTGAAATAAGCTAATTACGTAAATGATGCTATGGTTATGACTGCCTTTGATACCTAGCGGAAGAGAGTCTGGAAATAGTAGACGTTTGATGTTTTGCCAGGTTCGCTGTCGGACCGCCTTCTGACTGCCCCATACAGTGTGTGCCGTGATTGTGTGCGGCCGTGACAGGTCGAGGGCAGTCACCGTCTGCCGACCGCCGATCCCATCGATTTACCCCTACGTGGCTCATAAAGATCACCGCCTGATTGCGGCGGCCGGCATTGTGCTCTGATTGTCGGCGACGTCGAACGGTGTCGGCCGCCGACCCACGTCCGGCGCACGTCCACCGACGTCCGCGGACGTCCGCTGCAGACCGGCCGTCCCCGGCCAGCGCTCATTTCGGTCGGCAATCGCTCCTCGATTCGATGGGGTGCTGGTCCGTTTCATTTAACTGGCTCTCGTCAAGCGCCATAACAGCTCGGATATTACAGCTTTAATAATTTCCTGAATTACTAATCACAGGCACCACAACTGGGGAGTCCGGATTTGCATGCTTTTGCTAAATACGCCGATTCCCCGGGGACCGAATAGATTGGTGGCACCCGGCTGCAGGCTTTACGTGTGTGTCGTGGTTTAGCCGATGTCAAAAATTCATTGCACGTCACTCGCGACCCGATTATTTTGAGAGCCTGAAATTAGATACTGGTGACGATTCCGTCCAACTAGCGGCTTACCGGACCGAGCAGCTCGGCAATGTCACAGAGGATTAAACAACGAAATCGTTTCGGTCTCGGCCGGGGATGCACTATGCGATAATTGCTTTCGGACATGTAATTACGGGCGGATGCAACCTACACATGCAATGCAATCTTCAAAGAGTTTGAACAGGATTGTTGGGACGTTACCGAGGTTTAACTGGAGCTTTTGTGTTGCAGTATTATTGCAAATTTATTTGTCTCCTTCCTGATAACATCTTTAACATTGCTGTCCTTACTTCGTTCTGACCTAGGTATGTAGGTACAATAAGTTTTCTTGTTATGTACGGTCCAGTGTTCCGAAGGTATGGTGCTTTCAAGTATAGGGGCCCATGTGAGAAATGGATTTTTTTTTACTGGCTGTCAATCTTTATTAAAATAGTCAAGTCAAATATTGGCTGAGAAACGTTTGTATCTCTCCAACCTAAACTGTCGAATGACGTGATAATGATGCCTACTCAGGAGTATTTGCTACCTAAAGGTACCTACTAAGATTTTCGCATAAACCACTGATAAACTCGCTAGCCCGCTCGTTAACAAAAGCCGAAGAAAATTATTGTGTTGAGGCTATTCGAATAATATGTTTTCCTTTACATTGTCCTATCGGTCCTATCGCCGCATTTCTAATCGTCTCAGCGCGGCCGGTGGCCGGTGAGACGCAGTCCTAAAACCATAGCAGAGCCTCGGCTACCTACTTCTCAATGTCCGCACGTGGGTGGGGAGAGACGGCGGCCGTCGCCGGCGGGGCGCCGACCGGGCCAAATCTGGACTTCATATAGCGCCGGCGCCTCCCATCGTCCCAGTGATTTCGGCGCGCCGCTCCACTACCCGGTTATTTATGGCGCCCAAGTATGTAATAATCTGAACGGGGTTTCATTTTCTCCGGGATTTGGCGCCGTTCATCACGGCTGCTTCGCGGCGCGCTCAATAGATGGCAGTGTAATTAGCGTCATTGAGCCGGTGACAAATGGAGCGACCGGCGCCGGCGGCGTTATTGTTTTTCGGCTCCGCCCCGCGCCGCGTCTCGCCGCATTCCTATTCGTATCAGCGCGGCCAGTGGGACGCACCCAGATGAAAAACATTCCGAGAGAGGCGACGATATTGAGAAGGCGCTCGATGGTGCCATTCTCTCCCGATCCGACCGGAAGGAGCGGATCGGATAGATGAATGCCTAGATGACTGTTAGAGGTGATCATCGCTAAAACAGATAAAGGCGGTCTGGAGGCGAATCTGGCGCGTCTGGCGTAGAATCTGGCAATATCTGGCGGCAAATCTGGCAACGTCTGGAGGCGAATTCGCCGGCGTCTGGCGGCGAATCTGCCGGCGTCCGGCGGAGAATCTGGCGGTGGGCGGTCCTAAGCCGGCCGTCATCCGAGCTGGCATTGATTCACGGCGCTGGGCTGAGGCAGCTCTCTCAGCTCCATCGGGTCGCGGCGGTCATACATCACCGCGCCCAGCCAGGACGGCGGCTCTGCCGGCTCCGGGACGGCGGCTCTGCCGGCGCCCGGCAGAGCTTTGGCCGCAGCCCGGAGAGTTTCGGCCGCAGTTAAGGGTATTGCTAAATGGAACTTTCTTTTATAAACGAACGCTCAAGTCATATTTGTGTGATACAAATATGACACACAATGTCAATACCTTTGTTAGAACTAATGTATGCCCTGTTGCACAAGATTGTAATTTGCACTCACCAACAGACAATTTCAGGTGATAAAACGTTGTACCGGTTGTGTGAAGTGTCCCCGTCGAGCCAGTGTTCCGACATTGCCGTGTGTCTGTTCCCAGTGGGCGGGCCGCTGGACTCTCTGTACCGGTACCCGCTGGAGGCGCCGCTGCCGTTCCGCGCCGGCTGGCCGCTGCTGCCGCCGCTCTGCTGGTCGCTGCCGCCGTACGGCCTGACACCGGCCCCGCCGCGCTCCGGATCCCCGTCCACCAGCGCCGGGGGCAGGTCGGCCTCGGACGGCGAGGAGCCGCCCCCGCCGCCGCTGGTACCGCCCCCGCCCCCGCCGCCGCCACTGCCGCCGCCGGTGTGCTCGGCCGCAGGGAGGTCCCCGGCGGAGGAGCCGCTGAAGCTGTCCCCTCTGACGCCGATGACCAGCGCCGGCCGGTCGCCGTCCTACCTGTCCCCGCCTCACTCGGCGCTGGCCGGCCGGTCCTCTCCAATGGACCCGCTGAAGCCGGCTCCTCTGGAGGCGCGGCCGACCACCAAACTACCCCAACCCTACCTGCCTCCCCCGCGCTCCCTGCTGCCACCACTGGCGTGGCTGCACCCTCTGTTACTGCGGGACAAAGAGGAGCAGGAGCGGCTGAGGAGCTACCTGCTGCAGCCGCCGCCGCCGCTCTACCCGCCGATCTCGGTCGGCGAGCGGCCCCTCGACCTGGAGAGGTCGCTGGGCCCGGCGCTGCTGCCGCCCAAGCCGCCGCCGGAGCCGCTGATGTACGACCCGTGGAGGTCGGCGCTGCCGCCGCCCTCCGGCCCGCTGCGGCCCCTCATCGGCGAGCTCTTCAGCTGCGCAAAGTGCCAGAAGATGTTCAGCACGCCGCACGGCCTGGAGGTGCACGCCCGCAGGAGTCACAACGGCAAGAGGCCCTTCTCCTGCGACCACTGCAGCAAGACGTTCGGCCACGAGGTCAGCTTGTCGCAGCATAGGTGAGACGGGAATATGAACAGATATAATTTGGTCACCCGAAGCTGAGGATAGGTATTTTGGGATGTTTTAAGTTGCATGAATATGTATCCTTACATTAAGAAATGCAAACCTCAGTTTCCTCCAGAAGTGTTTCATATTTCTATTCCAGTTTCCGTTTTATGCGCCATACATTCTGTGTGTTTGCAGAGCGGTGCATTCGGTGGAGAAGGTCTTCGAATGCAAACAGTGCGGGAAGCAGTTCAAGCGTTCCTCGACGCTGTCGACGCACCTTCTAATTCACTCAGATACCCGGCCATACCCGTGCCAGTACTGCGGCAAGCGCTTCCACCAGAAGTCCGACATGAAGAAGCACACCTACATCCACACCGGTGAGAATCTGAGCGCAGCTAAGGTTGGCGCTCCCAACACCTGAGTGTCTGCCGCTTCAGCCGTAATTTTCAGCGTCAGCTGCCAATAGCCGTTTTTACGACGGGCTATCCGGCGAATGCACCTGATTTGACCAAATCTGCACCTTATTTCTTTTACAGCAAATATCTTCATTTTATGAATTTATTTCAGTGTTTTAGTCGATGGTGCTCTCTGATAATATGACAAAGCAGGCATATAAACAATTAGTGCAACCCTAGCTGATAGCTGCTGAGAGACACACTGATCCTGATTTGACCAAATCTGCACCTACTCTGTACCAGATGTGCACCAAATGTGTACCAGATGGCCGTCGTGAAAACGGCTAATATCGCTTCATTTAGCTTCTTGTGAATTTCATGGCAGACTCGGACACTGTTAGGTATACCACTACAGCCTTTCTGTTATGGTAAATCATTTTCACTATCGTCTTCTCTGAATTTTTCATGCAATTAGCGGCGCCGCTGAGATTGCACTCGCTCCGACCCGGTGCACCGTTCGGGTCGGCCGTTAGCGGCTCAGCCAGTAATGGCCGGGCCGTTCTCAACTTCACGACCCACTCGGCTGGCTGGCCGCGTCCGGGCACCAATCTGTGCGCCGATTTCGCCGCCGTTCACGGCGTCATTACAATCGTGCTCATTGTCTGGTCAATACGGCCCGGCCGGGGGCAATATCACGGGCCGGCACTCGGCCGGCGCGCCGTCCGCCGCGCTGGGCCGTGAGGCGCGTGCCGGCGCGCCGCTGGCACGGGCCGCTCCTATTCTTGTGGTGGCCATCCATCGGCCGGCTATGACGCGTGATTGCTGTCCGGAGAGGGGTGGGGAGAGCCGGAGAGGGCTCATCACAGGACCATGGGTCGCCGGCGGGCGGCCGCCGCGCGAGGGGCCAGGAAACAATGGAGAGCGGGACAGGGAGTGGGTTAATGAAGAGGGATTCCACCTGCGCATTATGGGTATCACCATGTGTGTTGATGAATGTTAGGTGTGTGTACGTTTCGGGAGAATAAGGTGCCAGTATGTATATTTAAATCATGAACATTGAACATATATCAATGGACATGCGCAGCCTTGTATACAATCCGCCCTATCCAGTGAGACTTTTTACTGGGTCCATACTTGTTATCTTCCTGGGCTGCGTCGCTGTAACATCTAGTTAAAACACTAGCCATAGGGATACTTATTCTGTCAATGGTGGCTGCGATGTCGCACTTACCAGCTGGAACCTGAAGCTCGCTCCCATGTGCCTGAAGCTCCGTGAGTGGGCGTTGAAGGGAACAGTCGAATAAGTCCGTAATTTTTGCCCGAAACTTTCTGCCGCTCGCGATCACGATGTAATCAGTTTCTCGGGGCTCGGATCGGATTCTCCAAATCTCATTCCGAGCATAGTTAGGGTGAGTAGTGAGCAGTTAGAGTTCGAAACGCCGGGAGTTCCATTCTGATAAGGCGACTTCGGAGCTTATAAAAGTACAGTTACTTTCTTCTTTCAGTTTATTTGACTCTTGATTCTGCGTACTCATAAAATAGTGTATTGTCCCTGAGTTTATAAACAAAAAAGTCAGCAGGCTGTTGAAAACAAATCATTACATTTACATCAAATAAAGCGCATCGCTTCTCCCTGAAACATTTTTAAAACGCGTGTGGTGAAAGAGTGCATCATGCATGAGAGATGCATTTTATCAAATCCGTAAGCATTGTGTAATGTATAACTTTGCTTATCGAGGTGAACGGTTCTGGGTCAGTGTGTATTCCATATGTGATTACCACCCGACTGTATCTGTAAGCTGAGGCCTCTTGCACCAAAATCCTCTTGCACCAATGATTGGATTATTTTGCATCGTATACCCAGTCCAAGTCTCAAATGTAACAATTTGCGTGCAAAATTTAGCAAGCACATGTAGTATTATGTATTGGGCTATTGCAAACAAATTTACCACCGTTAGATTAGCTTATTCTGAAACCGGTTTTTCGATTTTACCTAGCTAGGTAGTTTGGTGCAAGAGGCCTCTGTGCGGATGACCCCGTCCCTCCGACGGAGCAGTGGCCTCCAGTCCCGCCGTGACACCGCGACTCTGATCTGCTCCGGGGGGCCGACCATTGATCTGTGCTGCCGGCGACGCTCTTAGATTTCCCCTGCAAACACCGCCGCGGCGTCAAAGTAAACGGCGCGCCCCGGCCAAATATTATGGCAGCTCCCTAATGAAATTGTACTACAGTGGCGGCGACACTCCACTTGGACAGTGGCAACAGCTGTCGGCAAATCGGCCGGATTGGTGCGCGGCCGATACGGCGCCCGCGGGGGGGGGGGGGAAGAGTTGCGAGATGAAGCGGTGGGCTAAGGAGATGGCGGCACTTCAGTAGTCACCTCTGACGCAAATATACCTAGTAAGCACACAAAATTAACAGAAGAATACAATAAATTACATGGACTAAAATAGACGATTTTGCGGCTAAGGTTACAAAACATCATAATGCCTCTTAAAACTTTTAGGTGTAAGTATCTACTGGTCATCACAGCCTATATGCTATTATGCTATACATAACGTAGCGGATGTGTGGTCCATAGTGCCTCTATCAGTAATATCCTCTACGGAAAGTGCACTCATGTTCACGATCAAATTTCATGGCGCCGTCGTGTATTGTTGGTCGGAGATTTGTGGCACCTCTCCCGGGGGCCCAAATTTGGGGCGCACTGGCCCGGTCGGCCGAGGGGCCGGTCTCGGGGGGCTGCCCACCGCTGGGCGGTGTGGGGCGCACAATCAGCGGCGCTCTCCGGCGCGGCCTGATCAGCCGGCGGGCGCTCAAATCGCTGTGCGTATCGCTTTATCGACGCGGCGACGCGCCGATCCTGTTAGCTGATGAGCTAATGGCAAGTGGAGCGAGATCTGGTTACGTGCGCGCCGCCGCCGCCGTGACCGCGATACTGTTACGGCGCCCTCCGAGTGGTCGGATACGGTTACGGCGCCCTCCGAGTGATCGGATACGGTTACGGCGCTCTCGGACCGCCAGCGGTCCCGAATGTACATAATGCAAAGACAACACGCCGCACTGCCGCAGCGCCGCGCCGAGCCGCGGCACGCTCCCTCGGGCCACACGCCCCGGAACAGAGTGTTTTAATCCGCGATGAAAGGGCGGGCCAGTTTGCGGCAGTGCAGACGATTTGGCACGATTTGCATACGAAAACAGCCGCGGGCGGTATCGCCGAGCGGCCGTAACACGATACAGGAGAGCGAATGGAGCCGCCCCGGGGGGCGCACAGCCGACCCGCAGGTGTTTTACAGCCCCCGGCCCGTCTCCAGTTCGGGAGGCGGAGAATACTGAGCGCGCGAGGAATTCTCCGGGGGCGAGCTGACTGCTCTCTCCTTCAGTCGGAAGACAAAATGCTATTGCATTGTGCATACCTACGATCTACAATTTAACTCAGTGTATTGCAAGCAAACACTTGAGATAAGAGACACACTGAGTTTATATTTGCTCGAGCATAAATTATAAGTCACACAAATGAACTTAAGTCACATAAATTAGCGATGAACTCACAAACACAATAGAGCACTTTGTCCTTATCGCTATCAAGTGATCTAACAGGTAGTAATAACCAGAAAGCATAGTTACGCATGCAGGGTTTGAGACTGCAGAAGGTCGAAATCGCACTTCGGTGCGAGTCGTTACTGCGCCGCTCTAGCTGGACGGATGCCGGCCGTTTCTTACCTGCGCTGGTATACTGTTCCGCCGAGCACGCGTGCACTGCGGGCCGCATCCTTCAGCTCCACCGCGCTGTCTGCGCTCAGTGACTGTCCCGTTGGTTTTAAATGAGCTTTCTTTTTTCTTAACCTTCGCCCCAGTGGGGGGGGGGGCATATGTTACCACCCTGTCGCGTTTTTTGCGTGTGAATAAAAAACCGCGGCGCGTAGCGCCGCGCCGCTTGGGGTAGCTTTTGGTACATCAATTTTGGACAATGTGTAAAATTTTTGACCCCAGGTCATGTCAGGTCAGGTCACCAGGTCAAGTTAACTGACCAAGCCTAAAAAAAAGTTTGCAATCATGTCCAGCCTGTAATGTTTGTCAGAAAGGTTTTAAACTTGGTGGATTGCATGCTGTTATGGGCACCTACAATTTGTATATCTCGGATTTTTTATATCCGTGACCTAAGGTCAGGTCAGTGGCGTGACCTTTCCATTACAAGTCAATGGAGAAAAATGAAAATGCCTCTAGATCCGTGTGTACGCATAGGAACAGTCCAAATATTTCAGAATCACAATGATTTAGTCCACTCGTGACGACCAAGGGGTCATTTTTGCTGATAGTCTCTAGAAAGGTCATCCGAGGTCATTTGAGGCTACAAACAGTTTTTTTGCCAATAACTCGCGATTGGAAAGAGATAGAACGCTGGGGATGGTTTCATTGTGTTTGTCTTGTTGAGACGCATCGACTGATATGCAACATGACCTTTTCCGGTCAGGTCATGACCTTGACCTGAGGTCAAATTTTCAAGTTGACCTTTCAAGGTCAAATTATAGTTCATTCGACGCGTCTCGGCGAGGGGAACACGATTCTGGCAATAGAAATGTCGTGGCTTTTTGTAGTCGAAAGTTATTGTCGAAAAACACTTTTCGTAAAAACGGCTATTTTTGGAGTTTTTGCCCTCTGGAGGCTAAACCGTTGACCTGAGGTCAATATTGATAATGACCTTTTCAAAAGAAGAGTTCAAAAGCTACCGATTGCTGTTCCATGCGTTTTCCTAGCTATCATAGTTCCTGAGATAGCGGCATGTTTTCTGAAAAATATAATGACAATTGGCAAATTTTGACCTTTGATGACCTCTGGTGACCCCAATATTGCTCTAAGGTGAAAAATGACCGAAATACTTTCAAACGTACGCATTGAGAGCTATCGACTACTTTTTACCGCGTCTTTCTAGCCCTCTTAGTTTTTGAGTTAAAGGTGGGTGGTAACATATGCCCCCCCTCACTAGGGCGAAGTTGGCTGAGACCGCCACTGGGGCGCGGGTTAAATAAAAATTACTCGACATCTATACTATTTCTACTGTAGTTTCTATAAAATATGAAAATTTCCTAGCACATTTTCGTATGTGAAAAAGGTTTTTATTTTTGCAAAAAAGAAGCAGTACTTGCAGCACTTGTAACACCCACCGAAATGCGTTGTCCTTCTCTATAAAAAAGTCGCAGTATATGGCGCTTTTGTTTCAAACAGCGACGCTTGGGTTTTTGTTTATGTTATCGCCTTGTCGTTGCTTGGTTGTAAGGATTCTAATTTGAATTAGAGTTAATTCGGTTTAGAATTAATTAGATTCTAATTCGGGGGTACATAGTGCCTACGCTTCTTTGTTTCCAAGTTTCCAAGCGCCAGCCGCCACAAATGAACGGCATGCGCCAGAAACGCAGCCAAATCTTGCGATTGCGACTACGAAATTCATTATTTTGGCGTCAGAGCCTGAAGCGAAAAATACAAGCATATTTATTTCAAAAAGACTTCAGGTTTGTCGAACGGTGTTATGAGAATTTTGATAACAGTACTGCATACGTTTTTCAGTGATGCCGCAAAAGTGTTGTATCTGTCTTCTTTTATTGTGCAGTCGGCGGGACCGATTCAAAATTGAGTCGTTGCTACTAAAATAGCAGCATATGGCGTCAGATGATGAACAGGAAAAATAGTTGCGTAAATTTAGACATAAACCACCCCCAAACCATGAATATCTTTTGAAGGCACTATAGACGACCATTAACCAACTAGATGTGATGAAGATCAAATGTAAGGAATACGCTCATTTTACAAAATTACATGCAAGTACAAAAAAGTGATGTAAGTACTTATTCAACGGTCATTTTCAGCGCTCCCCGCTAACGTGACTTCAAGTTGAGATATTTGCGGCAAGGTACCGAATTGAGCAAAATGGTTTTAATTTACATTATAACTTGTTGTGTTTTGTCAGAAAATGGTCCTAACTCAGATTTTGTGGAAAAAGGTCATTATCTCCCTTTAAAAGATTGAAATGGTCACATGATCCGTATGCACTGCCATGAACAACGAAGCACAAATGTTAATTTTTCTTATATTGTAATGATGTCTTTCGAGACAAGAATAATTCCTCCTTGGGTCGATTTACGGTAGTTCCATACTCCTCCTTGATAATTCCACGTTTGCATCCGCCACCTCCTATAGCACCAAGTCCACCCTGTCCGGAATGGGATCGACATGGCAGGCGCTGACGTCCTACCGTGTCCTATTGGTTATTTCTGCTCTCCTCTGCTGCAGACCGTCTGGCCCCCGCGGACCCCACCAGACACCAGTCTCTGCCAGAGAGAGCCGACAGCATTATCTCTCAGACGGGGCCAGCCTGCTCGCCTAATCTGTGCAGATTTGCTCCCTGTCTCATAGGATCGCTCCTCGCCTGGCGTCGGTGGGCAGACTGGCGGTTCTGTGCGGCTCGCTCTCTATGTTCTGCAGGCAAAACGCGCTGTTCCTTGTAATGTCCGTGGTGACATGGGTGGTACTGAGGCCTGTCGCCCGATAAACTCTGTCTGGAGATTTGACGGGTGATAACAATCGCATTTCCATATCAAAGGACAAGTTTGCCACAAAATGCTCAGCATTACGGCACTCCACACTCCATATATAACGCATGTGAAAAAGCAATAGGGATATTGCATCTGATATGAAAGAGGCATTCTTATGAAAAGCGTAACAGGTATTATTATAATCATAAAGCCCAACAGAAATATCCATGTAGGTGTAATATTGGCTCCTGAACACAGTAACTTAGAAAGTTTATCGGTCAAGCAGCTGATCAGTTTCGTCACGAGTTTGGTATTCGTTAGCTGACCTGTTCCTACCTTTCAGGCGAGCGGCCACACAAGTGTAAAGTCTGCGGCAAGGCCTTCTCCCAGTCGTCAAACCTCATCACCCACTCGAGGAAACATACTGGGTTCAAGCCGTTCTCGTGTGAGCTCTGCAGTCGCGCGTTCCAGCGCAAGGTATGTTCCTTGTGTTCCCTCTTCGTTGCATATTTTGCATTGCAATACTAACTTTAAGTGCATTGATTGACCGAGTTTAAGAGCATTATTTCAAGGACGTACAGAAACAAAGTACACTAAAATAAGGCCTAAAGCTGCAGTGCAGATGGTTTTGACCATAACTTCGCCCATGCGGAATAGTAACGTCCCTACATAACTCCAAATCATATGCATGGTTATTGGTTAGTCGTTCAATTATGCATATGTCTTTATTATTTTACCTCCAAAAGATCAAAGATGGATAATTCTAGTTGACGCTACCCCACACTCACACAGCCATCCTTCTGTCTGCCTCAGGTCGACCTGCGGCGCCACAAGGAGACTCAGCACACAGAGCCCCAGCAGGGCTACCCGCTGACCGGCCTGGCGCCGCCCACCGGCCTGCTGTCGCCCCCCGACCCGGCGACCTCCGTGGCCGAGTTGCCAACCCCTGCACCCCTGCCGGCGCCGCCCCCGCAGGACCGGCAGACGGAACTGGTCCAACTGCCCCCGCCCGCGCCACGGCAGGAGGCGCAGACGGGACCGGCCCAGCCACCCCCTCCGCCGTCTCAGCAGACCTCGCAGCAGCAGCAGCAGCAGCAGCAACAGCAGCACCAGCAGCAGCAGCAGCAGCAGCAGCAGCAGCACCAGCAGCAGCAGCACCAGCACCAGCACCAGCAGCAGCAGCAGCAGCCGTCTGCTGACGTTGAGATGGCCAGTGGCCAGGTGGCCATCAATGTCGCTCCTCCGTAGGTTGTATAGTTTAGCTGGACACTACTAGAAAGTGGATGAATGAGGAGATAACATGAGATCAGACTGCGCGGTTTCGACGAAGGACTCAATATTGAAGCTTTCGACGTGCCATCGTGTTGCGGTGGTTGAGTGTATTTATCTTTTGAACTTCCTGGCTACTACTTCCCATAGGCCGGGCACTGTGCGATTGCGCGACAATGCAGGCCTACCATTGAAAGCATGGAGGCTTGCCCGTATTATATTTGTGCAATAATGACTGATTGGAGAATGAGCAAGCGAGAAAGAACTGTTGTCTGTAGTTTTCATATCATCTGCAGTTCATGCATCCCATAACATGTGTCCCCGTAATTCCATCTAGCTCTAGCTTTGCTTGGGCACCAAAATAGCATGCTGCATAGCTTTAGATGGTTATTGCCGTCAATCGGCACAGGGTTCCGAGTAATAAATGCCCCATTTCGTCACCATTAAGGTTTTTCTATTCATTGAGCGTTGACGGTTTCAGTGCTTGCAAATGCGCTTTCAGTTAGCAGATAGGTAGGCTGGTTGATAGGTAACTTTGTCGTGAAGAAGTCCCATTAATGTACGATGGGAAGTGAACGAAACATATCAACGAATTCCGCTGCGTAGCCAATGCTGCTGCAGCTATTACCGCGTGTGTATCATGTGTAAGAGTGCACACAGAAAAATATTGACACCGTTAGCGGTGTAATTGCACAGTACATATCTGAGCACTTGAGGAAAGTTAATTTAGTCCCTTCCCCGCTTAAATTACTCGCGCTTCCAAATGAACACCAGGAAGAAGGTAATAGAACACTGTTAGGAGGGTTGGGTGTTTTACTACATGTAGCAAAACACCCAACCCTCCTAACAGTGTTCTATTACCTTCTTCCTGGTGTTCATTTGGAAGCGCGAGTAATTTAAGCGGGGAAGGGACTAAATTAACTTTCCTCAAGTGCTCAGATATGTACTGTGCAATTACACCGCTAACGGTGTTAATATTTTTCTGTGTGTGGCATGAGTTGGGTGATTGAGAAATGTCCTAAACTCGGGTCCCTTCTCTGTTTCGTACGTCGTGGGTTTCCCAAATGCATCGTAGAAATGCATTCCAAAATAAACGGCTACAGGAACTGATTTCATTGATGTTAAAATGTGTAAAATACATATTCCAGCTTCCTGCGGTTGTATTTCGCCTGGTATGTGACATTGCCATTACGCAAAATAACTTATGCTACGCTGAGAGCTTTTTTAAAATTATTATGTATATGTTCAGCCTCAGGTACATCATGGTCCGTCATTGTAAACTTTACAGAAATTTCGAAAGACTCATTTCTTGTAATTCGTGCATCGGCTTAGCGCACCAGTTTCCATTAAAATTACATGCGTATTATTTTCACGCTTTTTTATCCATTTTACACCTCTGTCCCCGCATCGCCGCGGCGGCGACACACATTTCATGCCACACCTACCGCCAATGACCTCAGCCTAATGCCAATGGAGCACGTGACTTGCCTGACCCCCCGGGCGGCGCCAACGGTCCAGCCCGCCGGTTCAGTGTCGCTCCCTCGCGCCCCCCGTCGCGTCAGTACGACCAAAAGAAGAGCATCGCTGGGCGCGGCGCCGGCGGCCATCTGTCGCGTAGCGGCGGACGACGGCGGTGAGAGGCGGCCACGAGCTAATGATCGGACGGCGAGTAATTTTATTAGGGCGCCGGGGGAGCGGCGGCGCTGGCGGCGGCCGGCCGCTCACCTGTTACCCAGGGAGGGGAGCCGACCAGAGGGGGGGGGGCAGAGGGGACCAGCAGACTCCACTGGTGAGGGGAGCGCGTGCCGCGGCCCACCATATCGGCGGCCCGCCAGAACCGGCGCGTGCCCGATCATTATCATTTGCATGAATCGGCGCGGACGCGTGCCCTGGAGACCGCCGGCCGACGCCACGGCGTGGTGCACCCGGATTTTTCGACCGTTTTCACCAGTTATGAGACACCGAATTAAAACCCAAGGGGAAATCACGGGTCGTATTTTGCAGATTGAAAATGAATGTTTTATTAACGCTAGATGGCTCATGATTGCAAGTTGTGGAAAATACAGCAGGCATAACGTTTCAGTTGTTGTTTGTTTGCAAGGGATCGATTGTTCCCAGAGCCGTTTTGATAAACATTAAAATATAAATTATAAAATAGGCATGTCTTGTGACTGTACTGCAGACAATGGTAGTCGTTTATTGTGATGTTAACTCATTTGGTGAGCGATTAGCAGATGTCAGCAGCAGACACGAATACTTAGCTGCACTAATATTTAACCCGGCAGGCGGTAGGCCTCCCGGCCACCTTCCGCGCGGTGCAGGGGGGGGGGGTATTTTTTGCCCCACCCCCCACCCCGTATCTCCGAAATTACTGGACAGATCCAAAAAATTCAAACGGCGTTCGATAGCTCTGTCAAATTTGTCAATGGAAACCAAATTTCATTGACCTCGGGGTCACCGATGACGTCACAGGTCAGGTCAAAGATAAAATGTTTCACCGTTCACGGATCTTCTAGGGAAAGCGCTTTAACACCGAGTAAAACGCATTTTGTCGAAAATCAGCGATAGGGCGTCAGTTGTCTAGTACATATGTTGCTATTAGAGGTCACTTGGTCAATGGTCATACCAGGTCAGGTCACAGGTCAGGTCACCAAAGGTCACCAAGGGTCACCACATGAACCCAACTTTACTAAGGTTGTGCGATGCATGTTTCATGGCCAGTTTTTCATTTCCAACTCAATGGTGTTGGTTATAAGACCATCAGGTACGGTTTAGGTCACTTTCTGGTGGAGGTAAGGTCAAGGTCAGGTCAAAAAGGTCAAATTTCAAAGTTGATATTTTTGCATAAAATGGGTATTGATTCGATGCAGCTCGTCACGGGGAGTCTAATGGTGGTATGAGGTTATCGGTGGAGCCAACAAATAACTAAATGCACTTACTTTTATTCATTTGTTGGCTCCACCGATAACCTCATAACACAAATATGTCCCTAAATAATCAGCATCTAATGTTGGTCTCTTTGTTTTGCGCTACGAGGTCTAGAATTGCTAAAAATTGAGTTGGAAATTTTGACGTCATCAATTTTGAACAGTTTTTTTTCCGCTATAACTTGGCCAAAAAAAGAGGTATCGATCTCAAATTTGGTATGTAGATAGAAGGCGGTAGGGACTATCACATATCTTCCGGTTTTTTCGAAATTCAAAAAACTTTTTGGATTTTACGGTTATTATATTCAAAAAATCTATTTTTGATTTTTGGGGGTCAAAACCCAAAAATTTCAAAAATCCGAGATTGCAGTTTTGTAGCCCTTTTGATTCTACACCATTTATGTTAAAAACATTTTTATGTATCTCTAAAGCTGTAGGCCTGACAGCTCTTCTCGCGAAACCTTTTTTTGGGTCGAAAATGGCAGAAATGACGTCACTCTGACGTCATTAGCGTCCAACCTACAGGGTGTGGCAAAAGTTTTGATACCTTACCATTCATTCCCTCCCTCCCGTAAAATTAAAACAACAGTTTCATTTCAGCGGTCAATGTATTCTCCACAAAGCTGGACCAGGTTCTTCAGAGTCTGTGGGCTGATGTTCGCCCACGTCCTCTTCAGCGCCTTCTCGAGCTGTCCAAGGTTGCTGGGAGGTTTTTTCTTGTCCAGCTCCTGCTGCATTATCCCCCAGAGCTCTTCAATTGGATTCAGGTCAGGGCTGTTCCCTGGCCACGTGTCCTTAGCCCAGAAGTTGGAAAGGTGCTCCCGGCACCACTTCTGCGCTCTGGCAGACCGATGAGCTGGAGCGCCATCCTGCATGAAAATGCTGTCCGACCTGCGCTCGACCATGCGGCGCGTGAGGACGGAGCCCGTCGTGGCCGTCCTGTTGATGGCAGGGAGGCAGACTTCCTCGAGGATGTGCTCCACGTAGTACTCGGCATTGACCGACGTCTTCTGCGGGATCACGTGCAGCTGGCTCAGTCCTTCGTAGGACCTCATGCCCCACACCATCAGTTTCGGCGGGAATTTGACGCTGAACGCCTTCGGGACTTCAGCCAGGTTCTCAGCCCACACTCGCTCGTTCTGGCGGTTTGGGTGGTGGAAGAGTTGAAAGTGAGACTCGTCGCTGAAGAGTACCCGTTTCCACTCTTCCACAGTCCAGTTCTTGCGTTCCTTGCAAAACTGAAGCCTCTGTGATCGCTGTTTTTCCGTTAATTTTGGCCTTACGCGGATCTTGTAGGCCTTCAGTCCAAGGGTGTTCCTCCAGTACCGGCGGACAGTCCTCTCGGACACCGGAATCCGGATATTTCTTCCGAGTGAGCTGTTTGGACAGCTTCCTCACCGAGTGGCCAGATTTTCCAGCCGCTTTCTTCATCACGATCTTGGCGACGGTCGAGATGCTGGAAGGGCGCCCTGACCGCAGTCTATCTGCGACGCTCCCTGCCTCCTTAAACTTCTTCCACCAGCGTTTGATGGTGAGAACTGGGACCCCAAAGTGTGAGACAACGTCCCTCTGCGTCTTGCCGGCTTGGAGCATGCCAATGGCGCGGCTGCGAGCCTCCAAACTGTATTGTTTGACCTTCATGGTTCGGCCGTAGCTACTGCAGCGGCCACCGGGTGGATAATGACCCCGGCCGGCGACCCTCTGGGTCGAGGTCAGCTGTTCAGCTAATCCCCGCCTCGGGGAAGGATGCGGGTACGCAAGGGCGCGCTCAGAAATGTCATATTCGGGGGCATGTTGGAAATGCATTGAGTTATTACAAAAAGACGGAAGGTATCAATACTTTTACCGCACCCTATATCATAGCCTTTGGAAAAATTTGTGGTCACAATGTGCAATAGCTATTCACGGGAGGGTACTGAAAGTTTGGTGACGATCGGCGCAGCGGTTCTCGAGATATATCGAAAAAACTAAGGGGGGGGCAAAAAATGCCCCCCCCCCCCCACCGCCTGGAAGGTTAAACGAGGTAACGCCGACAGTAGAAACGAGTATCTATTGTGATTCGTTCATTATATCAATTGTTCTTAGCTAGGAAGTATATGTAATATGTAGGTATATTTAAAAGCCCTGACATAAAGGATAAATTTCTTAACGAATCATTATCATTATTATCATTACACTTATACGGATCAGTAGGTATATACCAAGGACCAGAAAGCTGCAACTATGTTGACCTTTTAAGTCCTGTAGTACAAATATCTGCGATCTGAGCAGCGATGTTAGCAGTTCTCTACATAACATCAGTGGTGCGCGTCTAAGGCGTCTTTAACGTCTGCGGCGCGCCCGCTCACATAGCGCCATTTGAATTGGAGCGACGGTAACGGCCGACTGGGGAGATCCGGCGGCCGGAGCCGCCGCCGCAGATGACGAATCGCTCCACCGCCGGCGCCGCGCCGGAATTCTACAAATGGAATAAAATGATAAAAGAAAACACTAAGCGGCGCATTCATCTGGCG